TTGGTGGGGGGTTTCACTGGATCAAGTGACCAGTTTCCCCCATGGACTTGAACCTTGTTATGTTCAATTGGTAATTCAACTACCTGACTAACTAAGATTGGATTGACTGGAACTGGTAAACTCATTGTTGGAGGTTCAAATTTGCAAGAGCCGAAGAGATGGTAGAGAACTGGGGGAGAAAAAGAAGGACGAAGGAGAGGGAGGATCGCACAGACGCAAGACATACAAGAATGACTAAGAATGACTTCGAAAGCGTTACCCCGTCTCTCTTCCTTGAATGTCACCCAAAAGTCTCTCAACAACCAGAGCTGAAGGCGATCGTCAGGCACCCAACAACCTCCACAATCGCAGCGCCGCTTGGCCTGATCAGCAAGCCCCAGGCCCGCCCGTAGTGTGCAGTCCATCGCAGAGTCAACCCTGCATGCCCACATGATCGACGCCATCCACGATCTTCACCCCGCTTGGCCCCAATCAGAAAGTCGGGCTCGCCCAAATCCGTCGTTTTTGCAGTTAGTTAGCATGGTCTCCACTCTACGAATTGGTGGCAAGTTTGATTAAAATGACCCTTTGGTTTTCTTATAAATGGCATGGCAAGTGGTCTGAAAATTAGGGTCTCCGTTAACCTTCTCTCCAAATCCGGCATTGCGTAGTCCATCGTGGTGATGCGTCAACCCTGTGCATCGCCGCCCCCGCATGGTCAACGCAGCTCGTCGGGCCTGTTCGATCACTAACACAGAGAAGCACACCTCAACTGGCCAATCCTCCTCTTGACTGAAAAAAAGACTTGAGCAGAGAGAAAGTCACGCTTTCAAAACTTATAGCTGCGGGGAGGCAGACGAGAGAGCAGGAGGGGTAATCAGGAAGCTGCGGGGATGCAGAAGAGAGAGTAGGAAGGGCAATCAGGAAGGAAGGAGGACGGAGAGTAGGGAGTGCCTCATGAGTTCCGTGATGGACTGATGACCTGGGGGACTTAGCCGCTCTCCATGAAACGATCTGAAATGGATCATGTTCGGCCAATAAGATGCCAGGGATTGGGGAGGAAGGGGAAAAGGGGAAGGTGGGCAAGGGAGCGAGTTGCGCGGGTGCCGAGAGTAAGTGAGGGGAAAGAAGAGGGTTGAAGTATGCCAACGAATGGGGGGAAAGAAAGTCTTGAGAAAGGAGGACAGAGTGTGCCATTCACTACCGGTGGGGGGGAAGGAGGGATAGGTAGCCTGATCGGCGATATGACATATTGTAAGTTAGGGAGCAGGGAGAATGGGGAAGGAAGGAGGCACACCATTCGCCAAGGAGACGGAGGCGAGAAGGGCAGTGAAGATGACAAGGCGACAAGGAGTGGGGAGGATGGGAGTTTGCAAGAACAGGGCGATCCCGATCCGCAACCCATTTGAAGGGGGAGTGGTTTTGAAGTAACAACACTGTATTTTTATTTTTAATGTAACCACTATTTTGATTTTTTCCTGAACATTCAATAGAACAGGGAGGTGGTGACATGGAGAAGGGAGGTGGGGAGGAAGGACGCCTAACAAATGCAGAAGAACGCGGGCAGAAAAGGCGCATGAAAGGGAAGATCGCGAGCCATCAGGCAGGTGTGGCAGAGAATGGGTGGATGTTGAGGTAGGAATGAAGACGTAAGGGAGCGAGCCATCACGCAGGTGCGGCGGAGGATGGGTGGATGTTGAGGTGGGAATGAAGATGTGAGGGACAGCGCCAAGCAAATGAAGAAGGGAGTGGGCCAGAGAAGAAATGGCGCCGTCGTTCCGTGGTATTGTTGTCAGTTCGCAACGTACTGAGGAGAAGGAGACGGCGCGGGGAGAGAAAGAGAGAGAGAGAGAGAGAGAGAGAG